TTCAGAACAAATAGGCCATGTAGATTCCACCTGGGGGAGATGGTCTGTAAGGTAACATAGAGCCTAGCCAGGTAGAACTTTAACAGTATTTCACAGCCAAGTTCTTTTATAATACTAATACAATTATTGATGAAGAAAGAGAAAGGATCTTCTTGGTTCTTTGCTTTTATAGTCTATAGAGGTTGGATATACTTAGCAGGAGTTCTATTTGCATGGAGTGAAAAAAAGGGGAAGCAATATTTATAATTTTCCCCCCATAGCCCAACTTCTTCCTGAAAATCAGATCTGGAGAACCTCCAGATAGCCGAAGAGGCAAGGCAGGAAGAAGGGGTCATTGTTCTGTGCATATCTTCTGTCCCCAAAGAGCATAACTGAAAATTTTACATTCTTTACTTGCTTTTGTTTTTCATTTTGCCTTTCAACAATTAGAGAACCATACTCAAAGAACCCAAGTGGAAAGGCGGAAAACCAGTCCATATTTTTCCAGGAAATTAATCAAAGAAGGTAAAAATATTTTATATGAACATGCTTTGTGGAAAACTAGCAGGCTTATTTAAAAAAAAAAGCTTTTCTAACAGGATTTGCAGTCTGATATTAACTATATTTATATGGAAGCAAATTAAACTGTTTTTATACTTGCACAGTAAAATTTTTGTGTAGTTGCTCTGAAATAAGTACAAATACCCATAGCCTTCTTTATGGGTACATTCATATAGATAATATTTATTCATTTTAAAGGATGGATGACATATAAACAACAGCAATCATTTCAAAGTGGGTTACATTATTATCAATAGCTGTTCAGTTTCCAATGAAGTTAGAATTAAGGGAGTAATCTCTTTCTGAATATTAAGTCATCCCTCTTAAAGTGATTTGGTCAGATTTACATTGATTGGGTTCAAATGTAATTGAAAACCATTGTTTCCAATATGAGCAACCCACTGGCATATGGACTCTTTTTTCATGAATTGTGAGGACAGAAGCTTTTATTTTGATTTTAAACAAACTATCATTCTCTACTAATCAAAAAAATTTGGGAGCTGTGATTTATGTAAAATTCTAGCTACTGAGTTTGATTGAGGATTAGACCATTGTTAAGCGAAACTTAACAACCCATAATTCTTAATAATTTCAGCCTTTATGAGAGAAAAGGGAAGTTTGCAACACTGTCAAGCATATTTTGCTTCCTGTATTGCTCGTCTAACAGAAGCTTCTAAACACTGTCAGAGGGAAGCAGATTTGTTGATGTATCTGATCTCTCTCTTTAGAACTTGAAAATGCAACTCAGACTGTCTGTCTCTATAGAATGTAATCATTGCAGACAATAAAAGCAAATCATGGTCACATTTTGTTTGTGTGCATGCTTAGCTCCAAGTCCACCAAGAAGGAAAGCCTTTAGGAAATGGACTCCACCTCGTTCTCCTTTTAATCTGGTTCAGGAAACACTGTTTCACGATCCATGGAAACTTCTGATTGCAACCATATTTCTGAACAAAACCTCAGGTAAATAAGGAACCAATCACAACCACTTCTTGGGTTCACGTGCATGGAATTGCTTCTCTGTGGTACAGTCCAATGCTGTTGGGGCATCTGCAATTTGTTTTGCAGACAAGTTCAAACATGAATTTGCCAGGGAGTGCTAATCAGACTCTAAAGACCCATGTAAGTGGCACTATCCAAATTATGATTTGATGTATTGCTAGGGAATGTGAGTATGCTCCCTAAGAAAGTGGCTGTCATGCAGCTGGGTGATGAGAACCAGAAAGAGGGCTGACTTGAACTTAAATTATGTAGAGTGAATTAATGCTACTAAAATGGTAGAGACATTCCATAGTGACAGCTGCTGAATGTATCATGCAAGTTTGGTAGGATCATACGTATAGATTAAAAATTAGCTGATGAAGTTGTGATCATATTGGCTATACAAACTATAGGGCTACTTCACACACACTGATTTCATGTCACTGAAATTACTTGCACGTAGGAAGCTGTGTGAATTCTGTCCATAAGTTGTAACATATTTCAGTATGGCTAAAAACTGTCAACAGGTTTGTGCCAAGTTACTTTTGTGAAGGAAAGTCTGTCTTTTGAGAAATTGCAGCCAACTTTGCAAATTGAGTGCAAATGTTGTTGTTCACAGTTTCTTATTTCTGCCTAGGAAAGATGGCTATCCCTGTGCTGTGGGAATTTTTTAAGAAATATCCTTCACCAAAGGTAGCAAGGATTGCCAGCTGGAAAGAGATGTCAGAATTGCTTAAACCGCTTGGTCTCTATGAACTCAGAGCAAAGACCATTGTCAAATTCTCAGGTAGTCTTTTTATATATATAATATTCCAAATGCTTCGTATACACTATCTCTTAAATCCATAATACAATTCTTTGATATACATCAATATTTTTATTCCCTATTGCAGTTGGGAGACCAAAACTGAGAGATGATAGTTTGCCAAAGGCTTCTTAATAAAGTCATGAGTGAGACAAAGAAGTGGAAATTTGCTTCCATATATTTGAAGCCATTACCATATAGCACCTCTCATTGTAGGTTGTGATCCAAAGGAACATGTATACTCAAGCTCTATAATCTCTATTCATGAACTTATTTTTGTTTTTATTTTTGTTTTATTTCCGTATTGGTACTTTTGCCATTCTTAAAACTGTTTGGAGAATTTGGCATTGGAATATTTTAGCAATCCATCCCTGTTTGGTTTTACTCAGAAATAACTGTATTTTGATAGAGAAGAAGTGCCCAAGCCACATATATTACTTATGACTATTCTATTTTGTTCAGTTTTTGGTAGTAGAGCAAGCTCATAACTTTGATTCATCAAGTGACTTGTCAAGGTTTTGATTCCTTGTAGTTTTCATTTTTATAAATAAGCAATTAATCTTTAAGTCTTCTATGTCATTTTTCACAAACTTAAAATCAATAGAAGTTAGTCCATCTTTTTATTATGACATGATCTTTTGTTCCTTAGATGAATATTTGGTTAAGCAGTGGAAATATCCTATTGAATTACATGGAATTGGAAAATATGGAAATGATTCTTATAGAATCTTCTGTGTGAATGAATGGAAAGAGGTAATAGAGATTAATGTGTACTTAATTTCATGAAAATCACTGAGAGACTAATATGAATTTCAGCAATGTTAAAGAAATGGTCCATAACCTAGAAATTATGCAAGTTATAATTACAGCTGCCTTCATAATTCATATGAAGTAGAGCTGCAGAAAACAACAGGATCTTATATTCTTCTAGATAGATTTTTTTAAATTAAGATTTGAATATCTTTGCTGCCTTCTTGTCATTTGTCTTTGTGCCTTAAAAAGCAACAGCAATTAGCTCTACAAAGCATTTTTAAGATCACAGACTAGGAAATAAAACAGGACCCTCCATAATCCTCAGATTTATCTGGGAGGTCTTGTATTAATAAATACTTTTGCTCTACGATAGAGGGGAAGAAGTTTTTTTATACTTCAATAAATACATGTGGAATTACAATAAAAAGTGTAAAATGGACTTCAGCTGTGTGTGAAGATACACTAGGGTGATAACAGATGACTGATGCATTGATTAGGTAAAACATTTTATGTTCATTTCTCTTTCAGGTACAGCCACAAGACCATAAACTGAACATTTATCATTCCTGGCTGTGGGAAAATCATGAGAAATTAAATCTTAATTATTAGCTCTCTATAATCTCCTGGCATCCCCTTTCTCACTTTTTAAACTGCTTTTTCTCCTATCCCATTTGGATACTAAAAATATAAATGTTCTTTTTTATATGCCTGTTTAGAATTTATTAAATTCCATTTATCTATTTATATAATTCTGCTCAGAAGTGACACTTCTCATCTTCACTCCTTTGGTCATAGAAATATTAAATGCCGAAGCTTGTTTGTTGTAATACATCAGAGCACAATAATCCAGGGCAGTATACAATTTACAATTTACCAAATGTCTAACTTTAGGGATTCAAATTCAGGTTACCCAACCACCCCCTCTGAAGGAGACGACCTCTACTGATTCCTGGTTGCCAATTCTAGGTCAGACTGGTTCAGGAAGGAAGTGATAGTGAACAGAAACCAACCACAATGTGTGAATCCAGCCATTCTGATAGCCCCCACCCAAATCTGGTGTTCTCTATGACAGGACTATAACTCATGGGATTTCTGACAGCAAATCATGTTAAAGACAGGAAGCCATGCTGAATTTAAAACAGGCGTTTTATTATAGTTAGACTGATCTGTGGCCTGTGGAAGAAAGCATCACAATTCCATACTGGGAGGACTGATGAAATGCCAAGTAGCTTTGTCCTCATTTTAGTCTCCTACGTAGGCATCAAAGGAAATATTCATATTTACTACCATTTTGAGCAGCAAAAATGTTTAAATCTTTTTAACTTCATGCCGCATCTTGTCATTTATCATTTCAGCCATCTTTATCCTAAAACAAGGCATTTAGCTTAATGGTTTGGCAGTAACCAGGAAAAGCTTACTTTAAGTAAGATACGAGATTCATGGTAAATCTTGATCACACAGTGTGTCAAGTTGTATAGTATTGTACCAACCGACCACTGTGGCTTGTAAATTATGATTTAAGACAACAGAAAGCTACCCCTTGTCACTGGAACTTAAACCATGGTTTGGACGAACCTTGGTTAGCGCGATATCCATACGCACCCTGTAAATGACTATTTGGTAAGATCAAGATGCACACGTCATGAATGGAGGGTCGTCAACGCAGGACGCTAGTATTGACTCCGTTACTGCTGTGCTGCTGTTAATGCCTCGCCCCAGCCCTAAAAGGGAGGCAAGCGGGCGCCACAGCAGGACCGCCGCCTGCAGCCGAGGCGGGAATGGCCGGCACAAAATTGACACGGGCGACGTCCTCCTGCTTTGCGACACAACGTTCGACCCCCTCCCGCTGCGCCAATCAGCTGCCAGCGAGCACGCCTGTTGCCTTGGCGCCCGCCAAAACCCGACGTTGCCTTGTGCTCTAATGGTGGTGCGTACGCCAGAGCGGGGCATCCCTGTTAGGTCCTTTCGCCTCGCGGCTGGGAGAGAAAGGGAGTGCTTCAGCGCTGGAGAAGGGAAAAAGGGTTCTTCCCTCCCAGCTTCTTCTATTGCGATTCCACATTTGCAGAGAAGGGAGGGCTCTTCCTGCCTTCTGCAGAGCCGACTAGGCAGCGTTTTTTTCTGGTCCGAAGACGCCGACGGAGAAGTTTCTGCGCTAGGACGTTGCAGTGTCGAACACAATGGACCAGTTTATCTGGTTATCGCAAAGTACAGAAAACCGGAGTGAAATCACACAGACCAGTTGGACATCACGACCTTGTTTCCAGTCCATTTCTTCAATTACCTGGTTTGTAGAATGCAGCAAGGAGCTCCGGGGTTGCGTAGCATAGCGCTCTCTTTAGAAAATAGGCCCTCGGGGAGATTTTCTTTGGTTTTCTGGGGAGTAACATGTAGGGCTGCAGAAATCGGAACGGTCGCTAGATGATAGCAAAGAGTTAGACTTCTGCCTCTGCTTGTTGGCATTGGAGAGTAGCCCTAGATTCTGAATAGGTTTAAGAGCCAGGACATTTCTGTAGGAAGCCACCTTACCTCAAGTCCACCGGTAATATTTGGCACAGCAGCGCTCCCCAACCAGATGCACCCTGTACGTGGGAGACTTGGAATTTCAGACCCTGCCAAACAAGATTGGAAGCATTCTGTTAGCCACAGCCCATACGCTTGGACCCATCAAGTTCAATGCAAGAGCAGGAACTTCCCAGAGGCTTCTGTCCCAGTCCTGGATTCTACCTGGGCTCTTTTAAATGCAACCTGTTTGGCACACCTAAGCTGTGTCCCTTTCTCACTTGATCTTTGGGAGAAATATGCAAAAACATCGCTTTTGCATTCTGGCCTCATTTTTACCTAAGACAGCGTTTCTCAACCTTGGCAGCTTGAAGATGTGTGGACTTCAACTCCCAGAATTC